GATCTATTCCTGATACTCAAATGAAACGGGAGTTAATTGAAGCAAGTATCCCGAATCCCCAGCGTTTTATACAATATTACCTTGAAATGATGTGGCCCGACAATTGCGACACACTTGAAATCCCGTGTACAAATTTCTATAGCACTTACCAGAATTGGTGCAGTGAGAAGGGTGAAAACAAAACACTAAGTGACAATAAATTCGGTATGGAGATTAAACAATTTGCCCCTAAAATGCGTGTAAGCCGCTCAGGTACCCGAATAAACTATTATATACTAGATAAAGCAAAAATCGTGGAGAATTTTAGTAAAGTAATCCAAGATGTACAAGACGTACAGGAAGCACCAGTAGAGGGAGTAGAGTTAGTTGCCGAGAAACCTGCTGAGGAAAAACCCGCACCTGTAATTCGCAAGACTCCTCCACCGCTTCCACCCAAGCCTGACCACTTAAAAGAACGTCTACAAGAGTTAAGGGAAGAAAAACCGTCTGCCCCTGAGCTAGATGACTACGACGTCTTAGACGACTTGTTATCAGACTCGGATTCTACAACCGCAAACCCAGTTCCTGAAAAACTGTCTGCCCCCGAGCCAGATAACTATGACATCTTAGACGACTTATTATCAGACTCGGATTTTACAACCGTGGACTCAACTCCTGAACAACAACCCGAGTCTCCCGCAGAATCTTCTGCATCTGTCACTAAGCCTGACCCAGAATCTGACACAGAACCAGAAGTCGATCAGGACCCTGAACCAAAGGAAGGTACTCGAGCACACTGGGCTTGGCATGAAAGGCGTTGATGGGATCGCAAGCCATGGGTTAAAAATTCAAAGGACCAGGCCTTTGATGATCTCTACAATACAGGTAAGGAATTATGGGCCAAGTATCAAGACGCGTCAGACGAGTATGACTGGGAAATTCTCGCGTTTGAAGTAGAGGAATATCACACAACACGTATTGAGGATAAGTACCAGTACTACTTTAGGGATGTAGTAGACCGCTTCAAGGACTGGATTGAATATAATAGATACTTATCTAAAACACCTAGCTGTAAAGAACTCGCGGATTTAATAAGAGTATACAAGGATAATCGTGATGCTGAGATTATCCTCAACCCTTCTGGTTATGAAACTATGAGAGCAGATAAGGGTAAAACACGAGAGATCCCCGAGGAACGTCCAAAGACTAATATGGAACGTGAATGGGAGACCGCCAATGGACTCATAGACGAGTTTGATGATGAGTATTTTGATGAGGTCCGTGATATGATTGACTCCATTTAATAAGATAAGTGACGTGTAATTATCTTATATTTTTTGTCCTAAATTATCCTACACTCATTATAAAGAAAAGCTATATTACAATTGAGTACAATTCATAGTATATCAAATGACTCATTCAAAAATTGCACGCGCCTTACCAACATGACCTGACATCAAGGAACTCCAGTTTTCTGGTGCCCGCTTTTCCAGAGGAGCAATAGCAAGACTCAGTCAGCGACTCCAATTCCAATATCCAAATTGTAAATTCCAGATTTTACTTCCCTATGAAAACTGGAAACCCGGTAGATGGACATCAGGAAATGAACCGGTAAGTCTCTTTTCACTGTTAGACCATTATGATGAAGCACAACTACCGGATGACGCAGACCCCGATTATTTCGAACGATTTATAATTTATATAAGAGACGCTCCACCGGCCACAGGAGGATGCGATGGGGAGCTAAATGATTGCCTATATGAATGCCTGAAATATATCTATGGCACATTTTCTAAAATACCGAAGTCAATTGAAAAGCCCGAGTATATCAAAAAGGCATTAGGTCTCAATCGCGATGCTCCCATCCCAGTTTCATGCATGGACAAGGTCGAACAACTCGCAGGAAGTCTCGCAATTAATATTGTGGGGGACATTACCCGAATCT